TTGTCTACCTGTAATAACATTCAGCGATGTTTATTTAGAAATTTTAAATATAAAATTTTAATTAAATTTCTTTGATTTGCTTCGCTTGTCTAATTTTTTTTAAAAAATTACCAATTTTGATTGGCTGTTTGGCATGTGACAATTATTCAACATTTGTGTAACTATTTTCCATATTTGGGACGTTCTTACCTGTTTTGGTTTCTAACTGTCCAAGGGTGAATTCGGAAGTAATTTTTCACCGGTTTACATACAAAATGGTTTGCTATGATTGGTTGATTTTGGAGTCAAAACAAAATCAGCGCACATGAAATGATCATTATGAAACAAAAATAGCTTTTATTAATTATTATTATACGGATCATGCCGAATCAATAACTTAACTGGATTGGCCGAAAAATCATTCGGCAAATTTTTACAGGTGTCCCAGACATTATTATAATAGCTGTAACTCGCGGGTGACCCGGGTTGTATTGTGGGAAACGGGTGGGTTACCCAACAGGTCACATGTGGGGTATAGTTATTATCATAATTCCTGAGGATTTTAAACTGAATTGAAAATCTTTTTGTGACCTGTCGGGTCAAACACTTTCATCAAACAGATATTCAAAATTACAGCTATTATTATAATTCCTGGGACGTCTGATAAAAATTAGCTAGCCAATTCGGTTAAGTTTATAATTTCATAATAGATTCTCTAAGCTGATACATATATGTATATATGTACGTAAATTTACGTACGTATGTAATTTAAGATCAAATAACTAATATAAATATTATACCGATACGAATATCTCAATAGAAATGTGATGTTTTCAAAGCATCTTCGCTATCAAATAATTGAAAGATTATCATTTCGAAATTGCAAAATATTTAGATGTTGTATGTCTTTTATAAGTCGAGTTCTCAAGCATTTTCAAAATTTCACTGGTGTCCCAGGAATTATAGTAATAGCTATAACTCACCTGGGTTCTACCCAGGTGGCAATTGTTTAGTGGGTCCAATCACTAATCCCATCTACTAATTCTAAACAACTAAGTTTATCACATAAATGTTCCATATTGTAGTGTTTTAGTTCTTTAGTATTTTGTTTAGTTGAGTAGACTGCTTAAGAAGTCAGTTTATGCTAATATTTTTGACTCCCAGTAAAAACCAGCCAATATATTAATATTTTTTGACTCCCAGTAAAAACTAGCCACACTTAATCAGTCTTGTTACCTGTTGGTACAACTGTTCATACATATCAGATACACTACCACAAGTTTTTGAGCCTCTCAATACATCTTGTAACTTTGGCTATTTCCAAATCAGGGTTTTGACTATTAAACTTAGGGTCTCAAAGCTTAATCACAAAGCTAACAACTCATAGGTTCTATGAAAAAAACGTTTTTTTTTTATACTTTTAACTTTAATAGACTAAAATTTTTTGTCAAACCAGATTCTCGATTTTGATTGGCTAACGGTTAGTGCATGGCAAAATCAAACAAAAACTTGAAAATCAAGTTTTTTTGAATCTATCAATTTACAGTATTGGGCATTAACGTTAAATGCAATTTTTATTTTTAGTATATAGATAAAGTTAACAGGTATCCGATCTTACTTTAGACTTCGTGGTAACTAATAGCCATGATCTGCATAATTTTTGGCCCGCATTACAAAATCAGTTACTAATTTTTGGCCGGAAATAACTTTTTGATTTTTTTTATTACAATATAAAAAATAGTATAATTGGTCTAACGATTTTTTACTTAATAAGCGGCTGCGATTTCATTGGTAAAATACAGAGTAATTCCGGCTAGAGTTGTTGGTGAAGCTAGATAGTCACCAGTCTCACCAGCTCAATTTAGTTTCTAATTCCGACCTAATTTTTTGATCATCGTTTTTAGCCAATCAAAATCGAGAACCTGGTATAAAATTTTGTTGCGGCAGCTAGAATCAACAATCTAAGACCCATTTAATCTGCAAATTTGACCAGAATTAGATTGGTTTGAAAATGTACTTCTTTATCTATAATAAGTCATAAAGATCGTAGCGGTCTCTTAAAAAAAAAAAAAAAATTTAACGTTGAACAACTAATTTCAAGGAAGGTCGTTAACAAATGCTGCTGTCTAACGCTGACTGTATTCGAGAATTTACGGTATGTGCACTAGGTTTAACCGCATAAAAAATTTTTCATAGTGCCGGGACGAATTATGCTGATCATTGGCCAGGACAATTTTAATGCCGGCTGAATTATACCGATACAGTTAAAAGATTAAACGTTACCGTGATCATATGCAAATTTATGACATGTTAGTAGCGATAGATAAAATTCTTAATTTTATTTTAATTTTATTTATTTTTTTAAATTTTTTTTTATAATTCATAACGATAATAATGTTGTATTTTTTTCCTAAATCATGTAAAAAAAAAAAAAAATCTTAATAATCTACTAGTACGTGTACTGTATTTCAATTTCATGAATTGAAATAAAATCATAACGATAATAATAATAATAATAATAATTCAAAAATCTTATTACAAAAACAAACAAATTTTTTTTAAAATACAATGCAATAAAATGAAAAAGAAAACCATCGAAGTTATATCTCACAGAAAAAAAGAATAAATAGATAAATAAATAAAAATGTGTAAAAACAAATGTCTATAATAAAAAGAGTAACAAACTAAAAATACATATGTATATTATATATCCCTCCCCTATTGCGATAATATATTTTTTTTTCGCAATTTTTTTTTCTTTTTTTTTGAAACCTTTTTTCTAAAAACCAAGTATATTTTTTTCTATTCTAAATAGCGAAGTGATATTTTACAGAAAAGGAGTTTAAATACAAAAGTAAAAATTTAACCGGTATTTTTATCTCACTTCATTGGTGATATACCGACTGTAAAAAAAATAAATGAATAAAGAATAAACAATGAATAAATAAATAATGAATGAAATAATGTATACATAATGCTTTTATGAATAAATAATATATGGGATAGTATTTTAAACAAACATACCAGCAGAATCAATACTTAGATTAATCTGATGATTCCCTATACCGAACAATAAAAGAAGTTTAGTAAAAATAAATAAATGAATAAATAAAAAATTCGTAAAGTAAAAAAATAAATACCTTGTGGTTTATTTTCAGATAATTCGGAAACTTTTAAACCTTTAACAGAATTAAGGGATATATCAGAATTACCGGATTTAAGAGTAACAAAATTTGAATTTTTAGAATTTTTTGGTTCCGGAAGATTATTAAAAACAAGAAGTCTAGAAGAAGGGAAATTAAATGAAGGATCTAAATCAGAATGAGTAGTAGATCTACTCGAATTTCTAAGTCTAAATTTTTCAGCTTCAGCGAAAGGACCAAGATTATCTTTTCTTGATAAAGTAAAATCCAAAATAGTTTCAATATTAGGACGATTATTAGGATTTGAATCCCAACATTGTTTCATTAAATCAATATAACGATCAGGAGTTCCAGTAATAATATCAGGTCTTAAACCATCACAAATATCTTTAGCTAAATCAGAATCGTAAGGACGACCAAGGAAAGGAGGAGTACCGGAAGTAATTTGCCACATGAGCATACCCAAACTATATATATCAGCAGCCTTAGTATAAGGACCACCACGTAAAACTTCGGGAGCCATAAAAGGTAATACACCATATAATTTAGTACCAAGAGATTTATCAGTAGAATCGGAAGGAAAATGTAAACCATAATCAGAGATTAAATATTTTGAAGAAGAATTTTCTACATGACGTAATATATTACCACCATGTAAATTATGATGAACTAAATTAACATCATGAATGTCCTTTATTCCTCTAACTATTTCTCTTAATATTTCTAATTTTTGCCACCAATCAATAGTAACAAAATTTTTACGAAGGTATTGATTTAAATCACCATCATTTGCGTGTTGTAATACCAAGAAGTAATCACTTGTTTCAGGATCTTGAGTAATACCAAGGCAACGAAGAATTCTATCACTTGTCAAAGATAATTGATAAGGTTTGAACTATTTTTTAAAAAGTGAGATAAAAAAATATTATTAGTATTATTAATATTATTAATATTATTGCAATTATAAAATCGTATTAACTAAATCAAGTAAATAAATATATCGAACCTCATTGATGAATTTTGATGAAATCGATGTGGAATTATGTAATCGTTTAAGCGCAACATTTTGATAAAGACGTTTCTTCAACGGAGAAGTTGTTACCGGCACATTCTTGATCATCTTCCTTGAAGTTGCATAGACTGAATCGGAGCTGGGAGTAGTTCGTATAGAACTATTAGAACGATTCTAAATATAATTCGAATTATTAAATTATTGTTAGTATATTAATATTATAAGAATATGTTATAAAAAAAATATGAGCGGTAATGTATAACGATATAATACCTTTTTTAGAGATTTAAAAAGTCCTTTGATTTTCGCAAAACTATCTTTTCTTTTCAACTTTAAACTATTAACTCTACTATTAATTCGACTACTAATTCGTGAGGACTATAAACGATACAAATTAATAAATAAACGAATAATAATAATAATAATAATAATAATAATTATTATAGACGGATATTAATACAAACCCTTGTAGATTCGGCATCATTTTCGGATAGAGGTTTACATTTCAAAGTTTTACGAGTTTCAAAAATTACTCTCATTTTTTTCATAAATTCCGATAAGACGGCATTCCAATCATCATCGGTAAAATGTACGTCATGACTTTTAATATAATCAAGAATTATTTGTACCTCCATATTTGTTACCCATTGTTGTAAAGTACCATCCAAAATATCATTTGACCATCTAGCAGAATACATAGTAGAAAAACCACCGGAACCAAATTCTTTTAAATGTTTAAAATCGTTAAAAGGAATCCATTTTAAAAAATTTTTATCATTTAAAGAATTTAATTGAGATTGACGAATAAATTTATTTAATTCAACATTTCCAGTATTCCAATTTTTAAAATTAGCTTCAAATAAATAAGATTCACAAGAATTACACCAACAACCATTAGTATAAGGACGTTCACATTGAAAACAAATTTCAGGAAGTGATAAATTATTATCATTAATATTAGTTTTAGATCCAAAAGCTTTTCGAATCCCGTCGAAAAACCAGTTAATAAATCTTAAAACTGAATCTTCTGTTTCTAAACATTGTATTAAAATATCGTGGAGTTTTTCTGACATTACCCACATTTCATCGGACATTCCAGTATCTAAAAAGTAGGTACAAATACGATGTAATAACGATATATAATTAATAAAAGTAATAATAGTAATAACAGTAATAACGGATAATGATAACGATTAACATGTACGTAAAACAAATATAACGGATAACGTAAATTAAATTAAAGCGAAAATCAAATATATACCCTTTACATTATCAAGACTTTCAAAGCTGTAGCCGTGAGTTGTTTTTAATATCATCACGACTACAGCTACATTTATATGATGTAATACGTCGGTTGGGAAATCCATCTTTTATTTTTTGATGGTATAAAAAAAAAACAAATTTTTTTGATAGAAGAAAAATAAAAAAAAAAATATAAAAAAAAATTATAATAGGAAAAAATTAAGAATAAACAAAAAGTCCAAATCCAATGGGACTTTTAAGTTTTTTTTTTTTTAATAACAAAGCCTACTAATCAAATCAAATCATTTAATGCGATGCAGTTATGCAATAATACATGAAAGTATTAGATGAGCACATGAACAACAGGAGAATGTCACAATTTATAATGAACTAGCAGATAAATTTAAAAAAGGCAATTCGTACTATTTTAACAAAAGTCACAAATTACTTGAACGGAAAAAAAACAAATAGTTAGGTGAGTACCGTCTGTACTGAATTGATGGATAAAAATTATTAGAAGTTTTTTATATAACGTTTTTTGGTTTAAATGATACGTAAGTAACGTGAGTAATACTGTTTCTTATATTTTCTTTATTTTTTTTCAAAGTTTTTTATAGCAACGGTTACTCTGTTGTTCAGAAATGGAAATAAAATAAGAAATGACAGTTAATAAATATTTCTTGTACGTACTTACGTACGTATGTACGTAAGTACTGAAGTACTAAAGAAAGAAAAATATATTTATATAACAGATATATATATTATTTATATATATCTTATATTTGAGTAACCAATAAAATGAATGGATTTTTTCACTTCGATCACAATAAAATCAGATGTCACCAATGAGTCAATTTTAAAAATATGTAGAAAACAACGTTTCCTTAATAAAAAAAAAAAAAAGATTATGAATAATATGAATAATAATGAATAATAGGATTGTCATCCAAAAAGAAATCAAACATTGCATCTGCATGGTATCACAATCACGTTTATTCGTTTCAAGTTAGTGATTACATCATTTATATATATTGTTATATTATATAATATAAAAAAATATATATATTCCGGGTTGTTTTGTCTCCTGAAATGTCTTTATACCCGGAGACAATCAAGTTATATATCACACGGGGACAGGGTTTCCTTATCATTATTGTTTTCTATAAATCTTTATCTATTCTTATTAACGTTAGATAAATTCCTTTATGCTGTATACTGTATGCTGTAAATAGTTTTACATTATTAGATTACATTATTAGATTACATTATTAGATCTCGCTTTTGCTACAAGTTTACCATAAATTGATAATTTATTAATAACATTTAACTTAAATGTTATCGTTATCAAATATAAATTTTGAGATTAAAGAAAAGGCTAGAATAACAAAAAATAAAGATTTAAGAATATCGATATGAATTTTCTTTTTAAGTATTGAATTGTAAGATACGTGCATACGTACTAACCATTCTTTTCTATTCATTTCTACTCATTTCTATTGTATCCCCTTATATTTTTATAGTATCACCCTAGATTTTTTATTTAGCAAACTTAACTTTTTATTTAGCGTAATTGAGTTTTTTATTTAACGAAATATGGTATCTTTTTATAATACTAAATATGGTCATGTTTGACATCTTTATTTAAACATTATTTTGGAGATGGTTTTCGCAGGGATTATCTCACGTTTATTGATCTTCGAAAGGGGACTAATGCACGCTTATTATTTATGTCACGTTCAATAATATAAGGTTTACGAACTGTTGATAGATTCAATTGAAATTACGTAAAGTACGTAAAGTACATAAAGTACGTAAAAGTAGGAGGTACGTATATCAGATATCAGATATCAGATATGCAGGTGAGACATACGACAAATGATTCATTGTCTAAAAAGTGTTTGAATAAGGACTTATGCATTTTGTTTCTTTTGTTCCTTTTATAAGGAAAATAGTGAACTCTTAAATTACATGCGCATTTTATCGAATCAAAGAATCTGACTTACAGTATCTTGAGGGGAAACGTTGTTTCGAAATTGTGGCTCGTGGTATAAAATTTAACTAATTACATTGTAGCGTTTGAATGTCACAGCACTACATGCTGCGATAACGATACTTTAGATTTCGAAAACTATCATTTAAATTTAGAATATAAAAATTTATATGTTTAAATTTCAAAATCACGAGTAATAACCATATTTAAGCTATGTGTGAAAATTACCTTTTTCTTTTTATGTCTTCATGACATAAAATGCAGCGCAGCGCGCTAAAAGTAACTCTGTAAACCCTGTAGCCTGTAACGCGCCTCTATTACAGTATTAAGCCATGATGTTGATCACGTAATTTCAGTGTTACGCGCATGTACGTATCAAGCATGGAGATATTATAAGTTTTATATATTTACAAATAAATATAAAGTCATGAGAAATTTGTTATTTATACTGTATAGTTATACAATTTAGATACGTAGAATTTTCATACGATTAACAAACTATAAAACCGCTTTAAGCGTTCTCTTTTTAAAGGTACGTATACTAAAGGTAAGATGACTTTTTTTACTGTTAATGAAATTTCCTTTTTACAAACGTGCGTATGTACTACCTTAATTTTTGCTTGTTTGTCCTAATTTTATGTTTATCAAATAACTTATGTACTACTTTATATTCTGAGAAGGCAACGTGGCAATAGTATTAAAAATTTCGGAATAGATCACAGGTTACATGGCGTAAAAAAGCGTTAAATCAAGCTCTATTGATATATTGATATATTGATATATTGATACGTTTGATATATTGATATATTGATACGTTTGATATATTAATATATTGTATATTGATATATTGTTATTGCTACGTATGTATCTGCAATTCTGTGCTTTGATATTTTTTTTTTATGATCTTATGGTAATCGCAAAAAAATTATATGAAACGTTAATTGCTTGATCGCATCATGTATGCTCATAATTAATGTTAAATTTGATCTTTTTTTATATCTATTTTTGGAATAAAGTTATAATGTAACCTTTTTTCGTAAGTTTCTCTGAATAATTTAAGCCTTTAGCGTTAGCCAGCCAAGATCTGTTATAAATAATTCGTGTAACATTAATCGCACGTAAGACTTTAATTAACCTGTTACAAATTTTGTATCACTTGTCATTAGAAATTGTTTATCATTCCTTATCTTTTATCGTAATAAAGTTATTTATCATTTTTCTATTTAATTGGTTAATATTTATATGGCTAAGTATTTTCTTGAAATTTATTATTTATTTGGCTAAGTCTATAAAAATTTAAATATTGTTTATTTACGTGATGGTTAATACCGATACACGTAAACATTGTACGTGCATATGTATTTTTTTGAGTCACTTATCACAAAAATATTTTGACTGGAGTCAGATATATTTATATTATACGCATTAATAATTAGTGCAATTTTAGATTTATCATGGGATTAGTGTAGATTTGTTATGCACATTAGATTGACGCATTCACATAGGTGTTTCGATTTGTAATCGATAAATACCTATGTATAAGTCGAATTTTACTTCAAACAGAATAAATTTCTGGGTTCTTAGTATAAAATTATTATGTTGATCTTTAGTATGGCATTAATGTTATAAACTTAATTAAATTTAAATGCTAATTACAAAAAAATATTACTAATACAAAAATTACAATATTTGTAAAAATTACAAACCTTACAAATTAAATAATAATTTTGTCATTGATTAGTCGTATGATCAATTTAAGCTAACATTATTTATAAAAAAAAAGTCGTATGATCAATTTAAGATATCGATCGTTATTATGATAAAAATCAATAATTTTATTATTCGTTCTTATTAATATGATCGATCTCAAACCAACTATCTCAAAGTGATACGTGCTTAGAAAAATAAAATAACACTAAAAAATGCAGGTCGTCCAAAGAAAAATTTGTATTATTATATAACAAATAATGTTATTAATAATCGTAGACAACTTGCCATTATTGTAGACGTTCTACAGAAATGGAAGCTCATCTTGCAAATTTCATAAAGATATAAAAGAATATTGGCAAAAGTTACTTTCAAATAAAATCATTAATTACAAGCGAACAAAAAGCTCAAATCAAAACCAATTAAATCAACATGATCTATCACTACAACACTACGCGAGCAAAATTAAATCAGCAAAAACTATTTTAAGAGCTTTATATTTAATTGATATAATGATTTTTATTGTACGTACTTACGTAGTTTAAATAAACTTGTACAGAGACATTATAGGCCTTTAAATAATGCAAAAATTATTAAAATTACAAAAATATAATAAATTTTGATTTCTTGCTTTTATAATACACATAAATTAGTATAAAATATTTGGTTTTTATATATAATAATTGACTTTCTGCTAACCTGACTTTGATTTTTTCGTCCAGGCTCTACGATAGCCGTAGATATTACATAGATCTATTGGAATTACAATCATCATATTTAGATACTGTAATGTAAATAGTTTACTAGGATGGTTTTCGCGACTAACAAATAACAGCTCCCAAATGTTGTATCGTTATTATAGCCAAGAAACATGTTTCATTAATTTTATTATAAATATCTTTTCGATAAAAATAAAATCAAATTATTAACTATTCACGATATTTTACATGAAATCAAAAAAAGTTTGATTATGAAATTATTGTCACATTTATTGACTATGGCTTTAATTTAATATAGAAAGGATGTTAAATTGATAATGAAACTGCGAAACATTGATCTTAACCTTTTTATAGCCGTTCTCATAAATTTTAGGACACACTAAAAATTCGTTCGTTTCCCAAAATATCTTTGGTTTTCATCCTAAAAGTCACTTAT